AGCAACAACTAAAACATCGGTGTGTTATCAACATTATTCTCATCCTAAATCCAAAACTCAGCACTGTACCAGCTACTAGGAAGAAAATTAACTCTATCCCAGCTGAAACCAGGACACCTGTTCTTCTGAAAGGTGCTCTTTAACCCTCCTAGGATGCTAGTTGAAAGACATCTTTGGAAAAGAGCCTGTTACAAAGAGAAAAAGACCACAAAGTCAAACAGGAGACTTATCTTTCTGCTTTTTTTTCTTCTTTAGTACCTGATTGCTGCATCTGTATTTACGTGTGATCTTACCTTGCAAGCAGCCTGAATACACAGCTCCCTCTGCTTTCCTTAGGCACCCTGTACAAGTGCTAATAGAACACGTCTCAAGGTGCATTACAACCCAAAGCCTTTGCGATTGATAGGAAAGAGTTCACTTGAAACCCAGCCCCACTCACACCAGGCATGAAAAAAACCTAAATTGAAGCAATCTGCCACCCAAGATCCTTCACCCCCAGGAAAATGGAGGCTACCACATCAACCACCTTTACGAACACTCCTTCCTTTTAGCAGTACCCAGAAAGATACCAAATCTTTCTTCCTTTAGTCTAAGGGCGTGAAGAAGCGAAGCAGCACTTACCGCTCCTCAAGAGGAAGGAAGAGTCATTATTGGAGGCAATTTCTTTAGCTATCAGTTTGGTTCTACTAATCTGGACCCATCTGTCCTCAAGTCAGCTCTGTCCTTGCCTGTGCCAATGAAACAACCACCAGAACATCTGGTCCCCTCTAGAGGCCAAAGCTTTGGGTGTACAGTTCACAAATTTCAGCACAGTTTAAGGGTCAAAGATGTTTCTGCTACAATTACAGACTGGCAGATATTTACAGAAATAACCATTTCTTAGTAAATGGTGCCTTCTTAATATTTTTGTAAGATATTTCTTAACATGTTCTGAAAAGACTAGCTAGGGAGGCCTGATAGTTCACAGACACAGTTGATAGCTGTCCTAAGGATGAAATAGTACATTTGGTACCTTCAGTTTACTGTACGGATATTAGCTGCATGAAATTGTGCTACCACTGAAAATCAATGGCAAAATATTCTAGTTTAACCCACAAAGTAGTATTTTACGTGAGCTACAACTTGGCACTTAAGCAGAGATGGGAGCCTCACAGAGAAGGCACTGAAGAAATACAGACATTAAAAATACATATGCTAAGCAATGAGAGTTTTTCCTGACTTCAGCATGTTCTGAATCAGATCCATAATAAGTAGCTCTGTAAGTGCAACAGACAACCAAATATAAGCAGAGGAGCAGCCCTCAAATACTTTCCCAGGTACCTCATGTCCTGGTTTCGGCTGGGATAGAGTTAATTTTCTCCCTAGTAGCTGGTACAGTGCTGTGTTTTGGGTTTAGGATGAGAATAATGTTGATAACACACTGATGGTTTAGTTGTTGCTACGCAGTGCTTACACTAGTCAAGGACTTTTCAGCTTCCCATGCTCTACCGACTGAGAAGGCTGGAGGTGCACAAGAAGCTGGGAGGGGGCACAGCCAGGACAGCTGACCCCAACTGGCCAAAGGGACATTCCATACCATGGGACGTCATGCTCAGTATATAAACTGGGGGGAGTTGGCCGGGGGGTGGTGACCGCTGCTCAGGGACTGGCTGGGCATCGGTTGGCAGGTGGTGAGCAATTGTATTGTGCATCACTTATTTTTGTATATTCTTTTACTGTCATCATTATTATTATTATTTTCCCTTCCTTTTCTGTCCTAATCTCAGCCCATGAATTTTACTCTCCCCCCTCCCCCCCATCCCACGGGGGGGGCTGGAGGGGAGTGAGCAAACGGCTGGGTGGTGTTCAGCTGCCTGCCGGGTTAAACCACACCACCTCACTTACTGTTTTGTCTGCAGCTCTGCGCTGGGTAACGGTGACAAGAGGAGGTTGTGTAGTTAGAGAAGTGCACTATGAATCAACTGGTGTTTCTGCAGGCAAGTGTTTTCCTCCTGTGCTTTCTTGCCCTCTCCCCAGGGTTCTGATTATTTACAGAAACAGTAAATTCACCTTCCCACAGATACTTTTTTTCTAAACGCTGCTAAAGATGAGAAAGTAATTAACTATGTTAATCTTCCTGTGGAAAGATGCAGTTGGCTCCACTGGTGGTAGACTCCATTATCAACCTTATCAGCCTCTTAAGTTTGGCTGCTACAACAGCAGCCATTTAGGCAGCAAACCCTACTGCTTAGTGCTCCTTTGCTTCTTTCTTTCTCAGTAACTGGATAAAGGCAGGGCAAGATGAAGACACATCAGTTTTTCTCTCTGCCATTATCGTTTCTCACAGGCTCCCCGGCAGCAGACAGCATAAGCCCAAATGAAACAAAGCCAAAGAAAGCCAAACTCCCCAAAATAAAAAAGGAGAACAACGTACTCTTGCTGAAAAAGAGCAACTTTGACAGAGCATTGAAGGAAACTGAGTACCTGCTGGTGGAGTTCTGTATCAATTTCCGCTGTCTCTTACCCTGATGGCTCTGCAGAGCATGACTGATGCTGGGGCACTCAGGTATGCCTGTTTTACTGTTGCTTTGTCCTCCAGTAGTCCTTGTTTGTTTTGTTTTTCTCCATGTATCTATTTCTGACCATGACTACAGTAATTTATTCCTTTTTGGTGTGGTTAAATACCAGTCTGCTACATAAGACGGATACTGACAGTCAGATGGGTCCTCGCATGCACAGTGCTGAGTTGGCATCCTCTGCTTCCGCTGCCTGATTTTGCAAATACGTGTTTCACAGCAGCGATGAGTGAAACTCCAGGAATTAAAAAAAGAATCAGAGAGGGCTTTTCTTTATCTTACTCTATCTTTCTCTATTTTCATCAGCGCTTTGTATGAGGTTTTTGCCGGATGGCATGTCTTCTCTGTGAGCATTTGGGCTTCAGGGAATGGCTTTTTACAACATTTTGGTGTCTGTAATTGCATTATATAGGACTGCAAGACTCTCTCCCTGAGATTAGCACTTTGTTAGGTGGAGGCTGGCTTGTGGTTTTTCATTAGGTTCATGTTCATTCCTCATGGGGAGGAAACTAGTGGGACCTTTTGAGTAACTAACTTTGTTAGAAGGACTGGCCATCTAAGCCTTACAGAAAGTAAATCACAAAAGCAAAAGCCAAACAGTATATTCTTGTGATGTTACCCATCTAAAAGTTCAGACGCTGCATAACTTCCCACTCCACAAACATGGAGCTGTATTTCCTAGCAGCTTGCTGGTAGCAGAAACTCTTCAATCTGCATAAGACAGCAAAAGCTTTGTCTCTGTTGCTTGGGCTTGACCTTGCTTCATTGTGCCATACTCACTGACCTCAGTGCACACATCCATTTAGCCTTAAATTATACAAACACCTTGCAAGCTAGCCCTCCTTTGGAGGCAGGCATTAGAGACAGGCACAAGCTGAAAACCCCAACCTGTTCCATATTTGGAAGGAATATTTGAAATTAAGGCAATATCCTAACTTTGCAGAAGTGCGTGTTATTTGTTCTTCTGCCTCACTACCAAACCTGGATGATGATGATATAATAATAATAAGCAGTGGTAGTGTAGGTCAATCTGAAATGAAAACACTTGTATTTTTCCAACAACAAAAACTACAATACACTAACAGATTAATGAAACTAAAAATATGTTTGGATCATACCAAAGATTTCATTAATCCTGAAACAATGTTATGAAACTTTAAATATTTTTAAAACTTTCAGAACAATCCTGTTAGAAATTTCTTTAAAACGTAATGCTTAAGACTTTTAAACACTTTTGAAAGTGTTGAAATTTGGCAAGATAGAGTGTCTAAAGCTATTTGCCAAATTCAGTCTACGGTTGTGAACTGTTTTAATCTCTCTGAAGATGCATTATTTTGGTGAAAAAATAATTTATCAGAAAAACCTTAGTCAAGCTCTATTCTCAGCTTTCTAAGAGCTGATTCAAAGCACAGATACATTATCTGGAAATCACTGGCCTCAATCTCGACAGCTCCCTTTGGAGACATGCCACTAAGCAGCCTCTGGGGCACTGACAAACCACCCTGCAGCAAGGCACTGCCCCGGGATGTAGGAAACCTGAGTCCACAGTGCTGAACCAGCTGGTTCATTTGCCGTAACCATTTGCATTGCCACAGCACAAAGAGGCTAAAGATGGGACATGCACATGCACCTGCACAGAGAGGCCATAAAGCCCTAATATTTTATGTCCTACTCCTTAAAACAGGCTATCGAAATAAACAATCTATGTGAACGTGGAACTATTAAGGGAACTTGTATAATGAGAGACAAAGCAATATTCCCCAGATCACACAGGAAACCTGTGGGGCTGCCAGGAATTAGCTTCAGAAATCCAAAACAAATGCAAGACCTGAGACCTTTCTCTTCTTGACCCACTCTCAACCATGGAGACAGTCAGAGAATGGGGAGGAATCCCATGCTCCCCAGAAAGTAGGATTTGTTCTGTTGCTGCACCAACATGGGAAAAAGGTTGAGCTCCAAACTTTGATTCAACACTCTAGGATCTGCCTTTGGCTTATCTATTATGAGAAAACCCCAACGCTTTCCCTGTTCCATACCATTATCTACTTACCAGTCCCACAACATTTATCAGGAGAGGCCTGCTTTGATGTCTTCTGCCCAGTGACTCCCAAGTCCTCCTAATGCCCTTCAGTTCCACTCTCACCGTGTCCCAGGTCTGCCTTCTTTCAGGCAAGGCTTACAATAAAAACATACGCTGACTTTCTGCCAAGCAGTATCAGGCTACCCTTGCGAGCTGAGCAAAGTACACAGGGCAAGTACCCAGCATGGAAACAAAGTAATGACCCAGAAATCCGGCACTCTTCTGCCCTCATTCCAACTGCGTTGTGCAACAAGAAAGTAACTGAAGGGGCAGCACAACCAGGGTGAGGAAGGACGCAGGAACAGAGGTTCCCGCCTCTCTCTGGTTTTTGGGGAAGGCACTGAGAACAGTGTCTGAAAACATTGTTGAGCAGCACGCAGCAATGCGCCTACTCTCCCGTGGATGCAAGCCCTGCTGCCTGCCCAGCTGAATTACGTGCTCTGTACGCGCTGGGAGCACCTGATCTCAAAGCTCATGTGAAAGGGCTCTTCTGCTGCAGTCCGTGGCATTTCCCCATCCACGTTAAACTGATCTAAATATCACTCAAATGCCTACGAGCACAGGGTATATAAAGCACTTTCCACCAGCAGAAGGTACATCTTACACTAGTGTTGCCTATGTGGAAGAGTTTTACTGTTTACACTGTATGTCAGCTGAATATAAGTCCCTGTGTTAACTTTCATTGCAGAATATTGTTGCTTTAGGGAAAAAAAAAAATCCCAAGCACTCTGACAAAAATCCTCACCACGGGGAGGATGAACTTTGTACACTTATAAGCACAAACACTACAAGCACTGCTGCATACCACTGCAGACTGGAACCAGCTGAAGTCATATATTAGCTTACTCTAGTTTTCCCAAGGACGGCAACTGTCTCAACACAGTAAACTGCCTGAACACAGTAAAATGCATCTCCTACTTAATTTCTCTTCAAAAGCCTTTCATAAACCTTTCCAACTTTCTGTCGCCAGAATGGTTTTCACAGGACTTTGCAACTGTCCCATATTTCCCCATGCAAGAATAGTCCTCAGATCCCCCAAACGGTACAGTGAAGACCATTCATGTTTGAGGCTTTCCCAGGCCAGAGAGGCAGAAACAGCCCACAACATGCTCCAGCCCAGGGGTAAAATATAGTGCATCAGCCCACACCAGCAACTCACCATCTTGCGACTGAGACATGTTAAATGTACCCAAGTACACTGCTTCTGCAAAGAAGCAGGTATTAAACTGTTCTTTATTTTCACTGGCAATATAATGGGTTTAAACACAGCAGACACATTACAGTTAGGGATAATGTCCACCATTTAGTTGGAAGGCTAATGATGCACTGGATGAACATGCCTAAGGTAGCTCTAGTATCTCCATTCATGGCAATATTTAAAGCCAGATTAGTCAAATAGCTGTCAGGATTGGTTCAGACATGGTTTAACTTGCCTTAGGCCAGACCAATGACCTCTCCAAGTCCCTTGCGGCTCTAGTTCTGTAATGCTTTAACTTGGCTAGTGGCATATTTTGGGAAACACAAAATGGGTGCAGAGCACATGCTAACACCACTTTCTCACACCTATCAGAAGAATCCAGGAAAAGGCCCAGACCCTAATGAATCCCCAGATCTCCGAGAATGCTTGCTCCTGTCCTTTCCAGTGAAAAGTTTTCAGTTCCTAGATAAACATTGGGATAAAAGGACAAGCACATAAGCAGTTGTGCTGGTTTTGGCTGGGATAGAGTTAATTTTCTTCACAGTAGCTAGTATGGGGCTGTGTTTTGGATTTGTGCTGGAAACAGTGTTGATAACACAAGGATGTTTTCGTTACTGCTGAGCAGTGCTGACACAGAGTCAAGGCCTTCTCTGCTTCTCACACCACCCCACCAGCGAGCAGGCTGGGGGGCTCTCCAAGTCACTGTTACGCGTGATGGAGCCCTGCTTTCCTGGAGATGGCTGAACACCTGCCTGCCGATGGGAAGGAGTGAATGAATGCCTTGGTTTTGCTTTGCTTGTGTGTGTGGCTTTTGCTTTACCTAGTAAACTGTCTTTATCTCAATCCAAAAAGTGAGTTTTCTCACTTTTACCCTTCCGATTCTCTCCCCCATCCCACCTGGAGGGAATAAGCAAGTGGCTGTGTGGTGCTTAGTTGCCGGCTGGGGTTAAGCCATGACAGCAGTGCAGACTCTGTGCTGCCGCTTTGTGTGCCAAGTGCACTCTCATTTATGAAAAAGTGATGTTTACCTTTTCTAGCAGAACATTTGTATATCCAGTGAGGCACTGGGTCAGCCATAGGATTCCTGCAGCCTGTGAATGACAATATATGCTGAGATAATGGCATTTAATAGGCAAGATGGGGATTACTTTTAAAGACAAACATCTCCTTTTTAAGGCACAAAAGCTGAAGGTGATGTTATTGAAAAAAAACCAAGAAATTGCTGCCTATGTATACATATAGTTCATAAAAAGGGGGATTTCTAAGAAGCAGGGGAGGCATGACTGATTTAAAATCGATTATATAGATCAAATGGTCAGCTCACTCATAAAGCGAATGTCCAAAGCATACTCACTCCTGTGCTAAGAACTGATTTCAGCATACAGCAGTCTCCTCACCACAGGAGGTGAATGCAAACAGTTCAAAACCACCCAGAACAGGTATTTCTTACAACTAAGCTTCCTATAGGAACCTAGAGCACTGTGAAAGATAGTGGAATGTGGGTGCCTCATTGCTGTAGGCTTCATCAGAAATCTGTGTCCGTCTTTTAGGAATAAATCTTCTGAAGAGAGTCACTTAAACTGTTTGCAAAATATGCGTATAAAAATGAGCAGGACAGTGGAAACACATGTCCAGACAGGTACAGGAGTCGCTAGATGATG